GGTGCTGATCCATGAAGGTAGGAGCCTTAATATGTGTAATATTTGATCTGTTTACAATTTTACAGCAGTGAGGAAGTGAAAGTAGATTGACAGAGTTCTTGAAACAATTGTGATGTAGGAAATCTGTGATCCAGTATATAATCATTTAAAGGAAAAATTAAATTAAAAATTAAAAAGTTAAAATTAAATAATTTTAAAATTAAAATTATTCAACTACCAGTTTGATCAGAGACAACAAAATGAATAAAATGAAATTCAATGGTGAAATAGGTAAGGTTTTACATTTAGGCAAGAAAAACCAAATGCACAGATATAGTATATGAGGTATCTTGCTCAACAGGTGAGAAGGAACTTGGAGAGGGAACTTGGAGTCCTAGTGAACAATCACTTAAATATGAGCCAGCAGTGTGCCAGCAGCTGCCAAAAAAGCCAACACAGTGTTAGGGATAGAATCAAGATCACGTGAAGTGTTAATACCACTTTACAATGTCTTGGTAAGGCCACACTTGGAATACTGCATCCAGTTTTGGTCACCACGATGTAAAAAAGATATTGAGACTCTAGAAAGAGTACAGAGAAGAGCAACAAAGATGATTAGAGGATTGAAGGCTAAAACATATAAGGAAAGGCTGCTGGAATTGGGTATGTCTAGTTTAATGAAGAGAAGGATGAGGGGGGACATGATAGCAGTGGTCCACAAAGAAGAGGGAATCAAGCTATTCTCCGAAGCACCTGAAGGCAGGACAAGAAGCAATGGATGGAAATGAAAGAGGGAAGCAACCTAGAATTTATTTTTTTTCCAATTGTGCTGAAATGGATAGACTTACATGGGAACTCAAGGACAAAAGTGAAACCAAGTACTATAAAATCTGGAAACAATTTTATGATTGGATAGACAATAAGAGGGTAGCCAAGATAAATATATAGTGCTAGAATAAAATATAGATTATAGACAAATGTATATTTAAAAGATAAATAGATATATAGAAATAAGGGGGAAAATGTTAATAGTATATTATAAATAGTGAGCAAAGTTCAAGAACTATATGTCTATATGAGTACTAATACTATTGTAAAATGTTGGAAGATGTATGGAACCAGTGATGTCACATCTATGTCCAATGTGTTTTTAATTTTGTATTATTAATAAAAATTTAATAAAAAAAAGAGAGAGAAGCAACCTAGAATTAAGAAGAAATTTCCTGACAGAACAATTAATCAATGGAACAACCTGCCTCCAGAAATAGTGAATACTCCCATACTGGAAGTTTTTAAGAAGAGACTGGACAACCGTTTGTCTGAAATGGCATAGGGCTTCTTGCCTGAGCAGGGGGTTGGACTAGAAAACCTGTAAGGTCCCTTCAACTCTGTTGTTGTTGTTGTTACATGTGGAAAGAAATATTACATTTTCCACATCACTTTATGTTTTTAAATGCCCCCTGGTAAAACTGCTGTAACCTGTGAAGTAGAAAAATCCAAATAGTGTGGAGTTTAAAACATGAAAACCACCCAGTATGCAAATAAATTCCATTTCATTCACACTCACACTAAAGAAATAGTATGCTTGGTTTGTTAAATCCCTCACTTATGTGGGGTATTTCTTCAGGCAAGATACTCCCATCCACAAACATCAAAACGGGGCAAATTTGTAACAATGTTGTCCATGTTTCAAAAGCTTACTTTGTGCAGGTAGTCCTAGACTTAATAGCTATTTGTTTAGCAGCCAGTGTTACAATGACACTGAAAAAAGTGACTTTTAACTGGTCCTCACACATATGACTGTTATGATTCCTCCTTATCGTATGATCAAAATTGGCAACCAGCATGTAATTATGACAGTTGTAACTTCCTGGTCATGTGATCCCCATTTGTAATCTTCTCAACTGGTTTCTGATAAGCAAAATTAACAGGGGAAGCTGGATTTATTTAACGATTGCACAATTCACTTGATAATTGCAGTGATTTGTTTAACAACCAAGCCAATATCAGGCATAACTCATTTAACAACTGCCTTGATTGGCAAAGAAAATTCCAGTCCCAATTGTGTTAGTATGTGAAAGACTACTTACAATAATGCACTGTGTGCTGAATGTGTAATTCCCCAGTTTTCATTCATTGTGTCTTTTTTTGTGCTCTCTCCAAACAGAGGCCCCACACATAAAGTCTGCATCCTTATCTGCAACTCACCTCCTTACCTGCTTCCAGCTGTGGAAAGTACCACATATTCAGGCTATACAACAGAAAATCTGGTTCAAAAGATTGGTGAGGTGGGTAGAAAATGTTCTGTAGCCATTTCTCATTTCATTTGGGTAAGATATATGAGGGCAATTCGGAAATAAACCTCTATTTGGTTATCAATGACAGACACTCGCAGATATAGAACTTTCATTATACACATTAGAAAACTATAGCATTATATTACTTTTTGACATAATCATCATTCAAATTGAGGCACTTGTCATAATGTCTTACAAGATTTGAAATTCCTTAGTAGTCGCTCAGCGCCAAATCTGGGATATGGGGGGGGGGGTAATCAGAAACATCCCAACAGAACTGCTTCAAAACTTCTTGGGTGCGTCTAGCGATGTGTGGGCGAGCATTATCGTGAACCAACACCACACTGGAAGTCAGCATGCCCCGATGCTTGTTATGAATGGCTCGTCTGAGTTTTTGCAACGTTTCATAGTAGATTTCTGAATTAATGGTTGAACCATGCTCCATGAACTTTACTAGCAGTACTCCTTTGCCATTTTCACATTTGGTGGGATGTTCTATGGCACCACTTCTGGTGTGATGTTGGTTCACGATAATGCTAGATATACTCAAGAAATTTTGAAGCAGTTCCGTTGGGATGTTTTTGATCACATACCTCCCATAGTCCAGATTTGGTGCTGAGCGACTACTGCTAAGGAATTTCAAACCTTGTAAGATGTTATGACAAGTGCCTCAATTTGAATGGTGATTATGTCGAAAAGTAATGTAATATTGTAATTTTCTAATGTGTATAATAAAAGTTCTGTATCTGCAAGTGTCTGTCATTGATAACCAAATGATGGTTTATTTCCAAATTGCCCTCGTATTAAGGCTGCCGACCATTCCTCTATCTGAGTCTTCTCAAATATCTACACATTATGGCCTGGAGGAAAATGGAGATCTCAGAAGTGCTTTTGTATGTTGAAGGAGCATTATGATGGAATGCAATAGTTGGTGGCAAACAGTGGCCAAAGCCTAATGTAACGAGGAATATCAATTCTCTGATACCCCCTTTTCTCTTTCAAGCATCAGGGTATGAGAAAATGACAAATATTCTTTTAGCCAATGTCTGAACTGATCTCTTATAGAGATTATCTACTTCTGGTGGCCTCAGTAGTCTCCTTTTATCTCTTAATAAGAAATCTAGTATTCCCAGAGAGAAAAATAAATAAATTGTTGCTAAAATAATATATCCTAAATTGAGAGCATACTTTTAGTAATGATACAAATCAACTCAATATGTATAGCTTCTAGATTTTATTTTATTTCTTCTTTTGTTATGAAAACTTTTCATTTATGAATTGGATCACTTGCATTTTCCATTGTGAACATTTCCTTAAACAAGAAATATTTTATGGTATTGACCATATTTATACTTAGTTGTTAAAGCCAAGTCTAGTTCTTTTCTACAGACCCATTAAATATTATCACATCAGATGACAATAAAATCTTCTATAACTAATACAGCCTCCAACATTGTTAGAAAGATGCTTGAAATTTACTTTGCATTTAAGAATGGCAAACACCAAGTGAGAAAACATTTGAAATAACCTTGTAAAATTTTGTGAAATAGCTAAAACTGAGGAAGACTGAATGAAGAAAATTGGAAGGAGTAAACTGCTAGATGTTTTTCTTCAGTTTGCCTAAACTGGGCACCCACCAAGTTGTGGGTTTCAAATTCCATAGTTGTCAGCCATGGGCTTGGTGGTTGGATGTGAGAGACTGTGAAGATTAGGCACAGGAGGAGAAGGAGTTCAGCAAGTGGGAGAAACAGCACAATACAGAATTGGGGCTATTGAAAAGAAACATTTCCCCTTAACTGGTTTGCTACAGCTATGGAAACTTACTTCTTTCAAGATAATGTTTTTATCCTGACTAGATAGCTATCCAAAATTTATGTGATTCTTGCTACTTGAGTTTGCCAGTCATATAGCATTGGGGAATTTTGGAATTTATTTCACAAATCTGGACACTTTCCAGGTTGGGGAAGTGGCAAATTTTTGTACTGTACATGTAGCTTATCTTTCTACCAATGATGCTTTCAAGATGGTGGTCTACAATCTGGGAATTAAGCAGATCACGACTAGTTTAGCTTTAACAAATATGGTACAACATGTCTTTATAAATTGTCTCCAGTTGTGAGTCACTTTGCAATATGCTAGAAGACTACTGGTAACTAGAAGTAATACCCATACATTAGGAGCGAGAGTCCGGAGAAATCTCTCTTCTATCTCCACTTCAAAACTAAATAGGGAAGAGATGTCTGGATCTTCTCTCTCTTTATCTACTCTGTTTTTCTTTTCCAGCGGGGAATTCACTTTTCTATTATCTCCCCACGGAAACTACCAGCTCTGCGTATTCTCTTTGAGAAATCTGTGACAGGGAACATGCTGGAGGCTCAGTTGAAAGACTACAGCCAGGACCCCCGGCACATGATCCTTATCCGTGGTATGATGCTTCCAGGTAAGCATCTTGGAAATGTGGATGGGGCTAGAATAGATCATACTGGAGTGTTACAAGTTTAACCTAGAGAAGAATGAAAAGAGGAATATAAGGTGTTCAGTATACCAGGGCTTTTCAACTGGTGGTACACTACCACTGGTGGTACACGACCACCTGGCTGGTGGTATGCAGTGTCGCCTTTCCCCCCCCCCCCCACGGCATCACCTTCCTCCCCTCCCCGCTTTGCTCCTTCCCACCTCACTTGTTTGTGGAAAATATGTTGCTTGGCGGCAGCCTGCACGAACTCTACCGAATGTGCCTTGAAGGAGGTGTGTGAAGAGCGCAGGCGCAGAGCAAGGCCCCGCTTTCCCCAGGGACTCATTGTGCAGCAACCAGATTGACTTCTTCTCGTGCACGCAGGTCAGCGGGATTTATATCGCCCTTCTCCTCCCTCTTCTTACTTCACAACAATTGCTAGTCTGATAGGAGACAAAGCCATCTATTCCCTCAGTAGGAAGGGGTTTGAGACCGCAGGAAGGGGTTTGAGATCACTCGCGTCGCGGCCCTGAGCACAAACATCACAACTGCCCCTCTTTCTTTTCCCCCTTCTCTCTCTCTCTGTTGCGGCCTCACTCTCTTCCATCTTCTTTTCCTCCCCCCCCCCCGTGAGCTTGCAATACCCCTCAGGGCCCTCACGTTGCCTCCTGGAGGACTCAGCTGTTCAGCGGCCAGAAGTCGGAGCCGCTCAGCTGTTGGTCGAGACACCCACGGAGCCGACACCCATGCTGCCAGGTAGAACAGTGCCGGCCGCTGGTCTCCTTTGCCGCCCCGCACGTCATCCTCGACCCCTCCCCCAGCCCATTCATGTCAAGCCCGCTGGGCTAGGCTAGCAAAGAAAAGCCATGGAGCCACAAGCTCAGATCGTAGGCAGGCCGGGGAAGGGGGTGAAGAAGAGGAGGGGGATTGGGAGAGAGGAAACGCCAAGCTTGTCCTCGCCTCTCCCAAGGACCTCCTGTCCCACCTCACAGGAACACCTGGTTTCAGATTTATGCCGCAAAAGTTTTTCTCGCGCAGAGGAGAGAGGAAAAACAATTGCAGAACACTCGCGAATCCCTTGCAAGGCACCATGTACCTTGGCGCTTATTTCCTAACACCTTCTCCCCGTGTTTTCTGCTCCACCCTGAATTCACCTCCCTTCCACTCTCCTTACGGAGCCATCTATCGTTTTAATACAGCCCTAAGCCTGTCTCGCTTTCAACTCTCCCTAAAATTCTTCATTCAGGCAGGCTTCCAGAGTTTGGCCGGCAGGATGCAGGTAATCCCTCCCCCCCTGTCCTGCCGACTTCCACAGCACCGCACTGGTCCGCATCCCACGCTTCAAGCCTCCGTGGCACAGAAACGCTGGCGTCCCCAATGGCCGCTGACGTGCTCCCCGCACTTCCCGCCAGCAACCATGCAAGCCCTGGCAATTGCTCCAGCTGAAGAAGCGGGTGGCTGGGAGGCCGCCGCAGCACCGATCTTCTGAACCCGTCAGCTGGCGACCCCCCCCCCCGAATGTGCGCTTGATAGCTGAGAGGTCTGGTGATGGAGCCAGCTGGCATGGAGGGTGATGGGGAGGCGGCGGCTTGGCAGGTGGGTTCCCGCCTGCCCGCTAATGTCGGGCCCACAGGGCTCGACACAGAATCAACGGTCCGACATAACTTCCCTCCTAGGATGAGAAAGAAGGAATCTCTCCTGCCCATGTCCCTTCCCCCCCTCAAGCGACAACAGGAGGTTGCAGATAACTAAGTCAGCTGGTGCAGGAAGCCCTGGAATGGCCAGTCCAGGGCGCCTGGTTGCAGTGCTGGATTTCTTTTGCTCCTCCTAAAAGCTGGTGGTAAGAGAAAGAAGTTGTTCAAATTTCAAGCTAGCTACTGGATGTCTATTCGCACTCCCCCCCCCTTTTTTTTTTGAATACTTGTCTGCCAACCCACCCCATCTGTAAAAGAAAAAGTCTTCCACCCAAGTATAACTTTTAAGGATTTTAAGGATCTTTGAGAGGAAGAAATAGAGAGAGGGAGAGAGAGAAAGAGTGACAGGAGAGAGAAAGAGAAAGGGAGGGAAAGAGGAGAGGGAGAAAGGGAGAGAGAAAGAAAAGAAGACGGAGAGAGAAAGAAAGGGAGAGAGAAAGAAAGAGAAAGGGAGAGAGGGAGAGAAAGCAAGAGAAAGAAAGGGAGAGAGATAGGGAGAGAAAGAGGGAGAGGGAGGGAGAAAGGGAGAGAGAAAGGGAGAGAGGGAGAGAGAAATGGAGAGAGAAAGAGGGAGAGAGAGAAAGAAAGGGAGAGAGAGATTAAATTAGTAACATGGTTGTTAAGTGAATCTGGTTTCCCCCATTAACGTTGCTTGTCAGAAGGTTGCAAAAGGTGATCACATGTCCCTGGAACAATGTGACCATCATAAATATGAATCAGTTGCCAAGCATCGAAATGTAAATCACATGACCCTGGGGATGCTGCAACGGTCGTAAGTGTGAAAAATGGTCATAAGTCACTTTTTTCAGTACCGTTGTAACTTTGAACAGTCACTAAGCAAACTATTGTAAGTCAAGGACTACTTGTACTTTATCACTTTTTTCCATTTTTTTTTTTTGGTCATCAAGTTTTTGACACCTCGCTAGGTGACTGGTGGTACTCAAATGTTGCCATATTGTAAAAGTGGTACAATCGGGGAAAAGATTGAAAAGCCCTGCAGTATACCACAAAGGGCAAGGAAGAGAGGACAGATGGCGGTGACATTTTATATTGGTCCTTGGACTTGCCTGACTCTTTTTGTACCATAACTTGAAATTAATTACAAAATATTTGATTATTAAGCTCATTAGGTTCCTGTTGTAATGATCTGACTGGAGATTCTCTTCTATGGAGATTCTCAGTCATCCAGGCCCTGGTTATCCCAAAGTTGTTGTTTTTTTCCCCCAAAAGGCAACTGGACTTTGTTTTTCCTTGAAGGTGTTTCACTTCTCATCCAAGAAGCTTTGGGACATCTGATTAGATTAGGACTTGTATTTAGATCAGGTTTATTAAAATATAATGGGACTTACAAATCACACTAATATAATTCCAATTGATTTAATTGTACTTTCTTGATCTTCTTTCTTGTCCTTGAAGCTGGTGGGGGAAAAGATATGGGGAGTGCTTTTTGTCATCATCCATGCTGCTTTTTTCCACAGCAAGCATTTCACTTTTATGATCTGTCATCCTGGTAATCCAAATTCATTTTCCAAAGGGATCGTGTCTTCAAAGTCAAGAACAGGGATTGTTTAGGGAGGTTTTTTTGGGGGGGGGCAGGAGGGAGAGGTTTTTGCAATCATGAAGTAACTTAAGGAGAAAAAAATCCTGACATACATTTTAGATTTTAGTGTCCCAGGAATCTCTTGTTTTCTTTTCTCAGAAGTCCAGATTATCAGCTTTTATGGCACCCTGTTTCACTATGCAAAATGCCAAGCAAGAAATCCTAGAAAATAGAGGAATAGCTATTTTTAGAAAATGGGTTTCAGTGAATTTTTATTTCTGATTTGTCTTTACTAGGCTAAGCAGAAGCAGATTTAAATAGGAGACTGATCAGGCTATGCAAATATATTTGAACTTACACAAGCCATCAAATCCAGATATCATAGTAAAAGTATACATAGCCCTCCAACGAGGAGAAGTAGGAACTATAGTATTTATTCACCTCTAATGCTTTCATTTAGTTCATTCACACACCTATTTTTCCAATATAAAAAATTGGAATACAGCTTTTTAGAAATAATTTATTAAATTGTAAGAGCTTTACAAGTAATACTGACCAAGGTCGGTCTCAGTTTCAGCTAATTGGGTGCATCCTATATCCTGCTCTTCATTTTAAATTATTTTTAAGTTTAGTATGCTAGTATGTTTCAGTTGGCTATAATTATTGCATTGGAATGGGTAACTTGTGACTGCCAAGAGTGAGCCATAGCATTTTTGGTGGAGGTTGGAGGACATACTGCAAGTACAGCTAGGACTTGCTTATTTATTTTACTTTATTTGTACAAATACTGATATAGCAAACTCATTTGAGTGAGTGATTTTATCACAACAATGAGAGCCAAAGTATGAAAATAGTTCCCAAGTTCCAGTGTTATCAGCAAACCTGGTAAAAACAATGATCTATGATCAAATTATTTTTTAAAAAGGTAGACTGTAACTTACATTATTTGTTTCTATGGTTATTTGTTTGTCATATTTAAAAATCACTTATTTTCCTCACAGAGGAATTCTGGCAGTGTACAATAAAATATTAAAAGCATAAAAATATATATACAATTTCAAAGAGGCAAGGGATGTTAAGAATTTATTAAAAGGAGGGGGGCTTTTATAGCACCAAACAGCCTCTTATCTGTGCGCCCCAAGCAAAGGTGCAGAGCCACTTTTTTACATCTTTATAAGGCAGCTCCTCTCACCTTCAGAGGGGCAGTATTCCACAGGGCCAGGACAACTGCAGAGAAGCCTCTTCTCCTGGATCCCACCAATTGGAATTATTTGGCTGCAACATACCTTCCCTGCCTGACTGGGTGAGGCAGGCTGATGTAATGGGATGAAGACAGTTCCAAAATGTCAAATGTTTAATGGAATAAAATAATAGAGGAGGCATGGCTGCGAGTCCCGTTAGCCCAATTATTCTGGCTGGCGGGGTCCAGGAGGAGGGCCTTCTCTGCTGTTGCTCCTACCCTGTAGAACAGGGGTGTCAAACTGCCGGCCCACGGGCCAGACACATCACGTGGAAGCCGCGCCCATCCCATTGCCGACAATGGCAAAACAGTCCTGATACGTTGTGCGTTGTCATGTGACATCGTGAGTTTGACATGTCTGCTCTAGAACATCTTGTCCCCCCCATGTGAGGTTAGCCCCAACCCTCCTATCTTTTTGTAAGGGACTAAAGATGTGGCTATGCCAGTCAGCCTGGAGGCCCAGTTGGGGGATCAGCGCAATGGAGGTAGTTGATTGGGTAATAACAAATCTCACCTCCCCCCCACTCCGCCTTTGCCCTCCCCATGTTCTTTGGTTTTAATGTTTGATTTTTATGTTTTAGCTTAGATGTAACTGTAAGCCGCTCAGCGTTACCCTATGGTAAGATGGGGGGGCAATAAATAAAGAAACACAAATAATAACAGCATAATAGAGTTGAAAGGGACCTTGGAGGTCTTCTAGTCCAAACCCCTGCTCAAGATTAAATAGTCAGTAGGTTTCCTGGCAGGGTAGCCTTCCTGAACTACAGGTGATGGAATGTTCCATAATGTTGGGGTCATGACGGAAATAAGGTTTGTGAATTTTCACCCCTTTCACATGTTTGTATTTGTATATGTATATGAACAAGATGTAATTGGTGGGAGGGAATGTTGTTCTTGTGATGATGAATAATATCTCTTGCAAATCCTATATATTATTTATTGTGTACACTTAATGTCAACCTCTCTTCTCTACATGCAGTAGGAGGAGGAGGAGCAACCAATAACAGCATGCAGCCCAAACAACCTGTATCCCAGCCTCCCCCAGTTCCTCCCCCACTTCCTCCGGCACAACCACAGGTTCTGCCCCAAGTTTCTCAGCCTTATCAGGTACATCCTTTGCCCTCAAGTAACACTTGGGTTGGGACCTTTCCTTTCCAAAATCCTCTGATTACTTCTCTCTGGTTTAGGTTACACAACCCACTACTCTCACTGCAGCCCAGGCAGCTGCTCAGTCTGCTGTGGAAGCCGCCAAGAACCAAAAGACCGGTCTAGGCACCCGCTGTGAGTCCCTGTGTGTCTCTCAGAATTGGGTCTGAAAGCAATGCTTCAAAGTTTAGGCTTGGAGGTGGGGAGGATATTAGAACAGAGGACAAAAAAAAAATACCAGGAGTGGTGAGGATTGTGGTGGGTTACACATCCATGTTGTTGTTTTTTTCTTTCTTCTGAACAGTCCCTTCCTTGAATACCATGCAACCAGCTTTCAGTCAAGCTCCTACGCAGACCCTTCCAACAGGCTCTGTTCCAGCTCTGACTCAAAAGCTCCCTGCCTCGTCTCAGTCTAGTCTGGTCTCCACAGTAACTACAGGCTCTGGCCTGCTGGTTCAGCCACCTGTGCAAGCTTCCCCACAGTCTGGTGCCTCAGCCATGGTACATATGAGCCTGATAGTTTTGGCAGTGGGAGGCAGACATTCACACAAGTCTTACTTTTTTCATCTGAATGTGACTGGTTTGCCAACTGACTTTTGTGCATCTCTTCTTCCTCTACCCAGTCTAGTGGTGTGCCCCCCAACAGCATGAATGTGACTCAGCCGGCACAGGCACAAATCGGAGCACCCCAACAATCTATCCCAAATAAAGTGATGGCATGGACTGGGGTGCTGGAATGGCAGGAGGTGAGAGATGAATTGTGGAAGAGAAAGAAGAAAGATTCATAGGAGTTCCTTATCTTGATGCATTTTGACCATGTATCCCATCCTCTTTTTCCCAGAAGCCGAAGCCAACTTCTGTGGATTCCAATACCAAGCTCACACGTTCGCTGCCTTGCCAGGTGTATGTCAATCAGGGAGAGAACTTGTGAGTGCCTCTGGATCATTTAACAGAAAAAAGATATGTTGTTGATGATTTGAGAGCAGGGAGGTGGAATCAAAATTGGTGTCCTAGTACTTGTAAAAATAAGCTACCGTATATGCTGGCGTATTAGGCGACCCGGCGTATAAGACGACCCCCGTCTTTATAGCCGGGCCGCATTCCTAGAACGTCATCTTATACGCCGGAAACTACCAGTATTTCCGGCATATAAGACGACTCGGCGTATAAGACGACTCCCGTCTTTGGTGCTGATTTTAGCGCTCGCGGAAGTCGTCTTATACGCCGGCATTTACGGTAGATTTTGGAGGATTTATGGTGGAGGAAGACAGAAAAATATATCAGCGGTGCAATGAGTAGGAAGTAGCCAATTCTAATACATCACTATTTTGTCTATTTGGATGATGGTAGTTTTCTTCCAGCCACAGGCTCTTTCTAATTTATAAGGTATTTTGTGAATACAGAGTCTGAATAGAAGTAACAAAGGGAGTGGAACTTAACTTTTAAAAGTTGGGAATTACTGGAGCAAGTTCCCCTACCTCTCCCCCTTTTTTTAAAAAAAAAAACTAGAAGTCTTAACAACTAATCTTTGTGGTGATTATAACTGTGGATCCTCCTCCCCTGAAGACCCTGCCGATTATGTCTCAGATTAAAGCACGGGGGGAAGCCTCTCCTACCAGGAATCTTTAGGCCAGTATTTTAAACCAGGTTTAAGTTCCGTGCTGGGGGAATTTTGGGAACTGAAGTCCACTCATCTTAAAGTTGCTACGATTAAACTAAAGACTTAAAAACTATATGCTGAATACATATTGTACATGCTACCTGCTATTGTATTTCTTATTTTGATTTTTAATTGCTTCCAAATGTGTGCCAATTATTATTTTTAATTGTATATGGTATTGAGTGTTTTAATAGGCAGTGATTAAAGTAGATGAAACAAGTTAGAGATGTAACAAAATGTTGCAGTATTTAGTGCCATCAGTCTTTCAGTCAATCATGTCCTTCTCCATGATACTCCTTCCAATTTCCTCATTTACATAAGTCGCTTTTCACAATCATCATTCCTAAGCTCTCTGAGCTATCTTTCTCTATAGGGAACAAAGATTTTTTAAAATTAATCTACAGACTAAAATGTGCTTTATGTGTTACTATTGTGAAAATACTATTCCTGACCCTGCTTATATTCTTCCAAGGCAGTCCCATGCAGTCCTTAGAAAGGTTTAAAAAACTATTTTCCATAAATATTTGTTGATAAACTAACCAATAAAAGTGAAGCATGCAACTGCTGTTAAGAACGATATGTTAACATAATATATAGAGTACACTAACATTTGGAGAATTGTGTTCTCGTTTATGTGTGTAAGATAATAACAATGATTTTAAGCACAGGTGAGATGAGAAATGCATAGCTGACTCTCCTCTCCTTGCTCTGTTGTAGGAAGGCTGAGCAATGGCCCCAAAAACTCATTATGCAGTTAATCCCCCAACAGCTCTTGGTAAGTGAAATGTGTGTGATTTCTGAAGGCAAAGTGTGAACTAATGCTTTGCAGGAATGGGCAACATTTTGCTGGATGAATAGCACCCTGATACTACCAAAATCTTGCCATCACTTTGTTTGGGATAGATTGCTGGAGTGCACTGGTTAGAACTTCGATCTGTACACACTAATCTATAGGGATCACTGTGGAGACAAGTTCTAAACTGGTGTTTCTCAACCTTAGCAACTTTAAAATATGCAAACTTCAACTCCCTGAATTCCCCAGTCAGCTATGTTAACTGGGGAATTCTGGGAATTGAAGTCTGCCCATCTTAAAGTTGCCAAAGTTGAGAAACACTGGTCTAAATTCACCATCTTCCCATCTCTCTTTATCTGCCCTGCAAAGTTTGCTGGGTGAAGTTAAAATCTACCCTCATCCCACTAGTCTTTATTCTAGTGCCTTTTCCTTCATTATTAAGAGCAGCAATGAAACATTGATATTAAATTCAGCTTTGCAGATGACCCAGAGGGATATTTGGGTAAAGAGGCCAGTCCTATGGAAATTTAGGAGTTCCAGTATTGAGGCTGTGTCTGGCAAATCTGAATTATGGCCTTTATTGGGCTTGCTATTCTTGTTGCTATAGTGATCTTAGTTGTAACTATGGATATGGGAACAACCTTGCCATGCTGAATAATTTTTAGAAGGATTAAACAGTAAAAGATGGTCTGCTTCTGCTGTACTGAAGAATACCAGGAAGTTATAGTGTTATTCATAATTTACATAAAATTTTTATGAGTATGCCAGATTCACCCCGCAGGTGGGCAGGCATTTCTTCTGGAAGTCTTATGTACTAATGTGTAAAGATATATATATATATATATATATATATATATATATATATATATATATATATATATATATATATATATATATATATATATATATTGTTAAGTTGATGGAGTTGTCTGAAACTTCTTCCATGGCTATTTTGAAATCTCTTGTATTATTATATATAACTTATTATTTTTAAATCTATAAAATTAGTATTATAGAATAGTTTTTATCCTTCAGCTTTGCTTTTAGCATCACTGGATTTCCCAGAAATTTGTCTTAATTGAAATTATTGACAAATTGGCATAGCTTGGAGTATACAAAGATTTGGTTCCACCTGAATTAATCCATTCCTTCTTCACAGACAACTCTGGGTCACCTGTTCCGCAATTCTCGCATGGTGCAGTTCCATTTCACCAATAAGGACTTGGAATCCCTCAAGGGACTTTATCGCATCATGGGCAATGGATTTGTAAGACTCTACAATTGCTAGGATGTGGGCATGGTCAAAGAGATTCAACTAAGTTGAAGAAGTAGAAGCTTCTAGTTGAGGGTTGGTCATGATGGACAAGTTAAGGCAGTCTGTTTTCTTTCTTTTGGAAAGCTGCTTGATGAGTAAACCGATACAATAATCAAAGTATCAAGATACATATAAAATGTATATACTGGTACTCCAGTACATAAAATTTCTGATGCAGTATTACTGACTCTTTTTATGGTAGCCATAAAAAGTGATTTTAGTGGAAAATGTCTTAGCTTGTTGGTAGCGTTACTTATCTGGGATGTTATAAATCTCAAATTGAGTTCACTTGCCTTGGATGGTATAAATCCTAGAATTGTAGCTAGTAAATCATGATCTTATTAATGTATTAGTGCGGCTTCGTATTCTCTCAAGATCCTGATTTTGGAGATGCATTAGAAACTCAATTTCATAAATTACATTAGGTATACCTATTTATCTGTGTTCTTCAGTTTTTCCTGATGCGTTTGATTTGGGCCACTGTAGTTTTTTTTTTTTTTAATTTCTTCTTGACTTTTATATTTTTTTCTGATACTGATTCTGTGATCTCTGAGAGAATAGCAGTATAGCATACAAATACAAATAATAAGGTGGCAAAAGATTTCACCTTAGAAAAACATTTCTCTGAAACCCCCCCCCCCTTTAGCAGATGTACTTTTCTTGTCACATGAGCAGGCTGGCTGTGTCCACTTCCCGCACACAACACCTTGTGAGGTGCGAGTGCTGATGCTGCTCTACTCCTCCAAGAAGAAAATCTTCATGGGGCTCATTCCTTATGACCAGAGTGGTTTCGTCAACGGGATACGCCAAGTCATTACTAACCATAAACAAGTTCAGCAGCAAAAGGTCAGTAGTTGATCCTCTTGGTCTTGTTTTTTCCCCAGCAGCTATATGTTCAAGCTTTTCAGCAGACTGAATCTGTTGAATTCTAGAGCTACCTCAGGTATATTATGTTCCTTAAGAGGAATGCCACCTTGTCTCCAAAATTATAGGCGTCCCTGTACTTCTAATTAGCATATTTTGTGTTTAATTAGTAAGTAAACTGGTAGATAATGCCTATTGATATTCAGCCATTCTTTATCAAATTCCTGCCTTGGAATTGTATGTTATGATGAAAAAACCAGGATGGAAATTTTATAACTGAAAAATTACTTTTGAGTGTATTGAAAAATTACCTCAGATTGTATTGTAAATAGTTCTAAGTCTCATTTAATACATTTCTTACAGTATTTTTTGCTTGATAATAAACTAACCATGCTATTTCTAAGCATATTGCACCCTTAGCTTTAATTCCTGAACCAACATTTTCCTATGTGTACAAAATGTATTTGTGCTTCTGCGTAGAAGTACATTCAAAATATTTTTCACTCCATAAACATTTAACACTTGCATTGTGTAATACTAAGTAGTGTCATAGGTCTACAATTAACTCCGGAAGGCTGTAATTTATTTTTTCTTCCTCTCTATAGCAGATGGGGAATTCTCAACCCATGGGGTCCACACCCAACACACAGCCCTTCCTGGCAAAGCAGCCTGGCACTTTGCCAGTAACTCCAGGAGTCCAACAGCAGGTAAGACATTAGGCAGAGCAAATGTTGCCCTCACTGTTTTGGGCAGCAGCCATACAAGGAGAAGAGAGCTATCTATCTCTTGGCAGCATGTCTGGACTTAGAAGTGCATTGCCCGTCTCCTTGCCTCACTGGCCACTCCTTGTTGGATTTGGCTCTCCTTTTATCATTTTACAGATGGGTGGGCAACAGGTGAGCCCCGGTATGCCTCAGGTGGGGATCATGGAAGAACGGCAGCAGGGTTTGGTGAGTCCCTTATGGAGGTAGGAGCTGGTGTATTTTTTCGAAGTCGATTCGTCCCATCCTGGAATCATTATTTTCATGCAACTCCACTTATTTGACCCTATAGCATGGTGCTTTAAACTTGGAAAGAGGATGGAGGCTAAGCAACTTTATTTCTGGGTTAATTCAACAGTCTCATTTCATAACTGAGTGGTACACATGCTAAGACCTCGGGATCTTGAACATAGCCTACCATCCCATCCCATTTGTGAGTATTGCTATTCCTAGCGGTTGGAGAATTCTAGTTGTCATTTATAGCTCTACCCACCATCTAACTAAAATTCTGGACACGCTTTGTCGTCATCAAACATTCCCAAATTGAAGAAACACACCATCTACTCAATAACATATTCCCTGGGATCAAATTCACACATGAAGAGGAAACAGACAACAGACTCCCATTCTTTTGACATCGACATAAGGAGACTAGTCAGTGGAGAACTGGAAACCTATGTCTACCGCAAATCCATGCACACGGACCAAATCCTCAGCTTTGCAAGTAACCACCCCCACTGCACACAAAAGAAGCTGTGTCCAGACTCTGTTCAGAAGGGCCAGAACACACTGCAGCACCACAACACCAAAAGTGGAAGAAAAACATCTGCTTGACATCTTTCTCTGTAACAGCTATCCGGAAAATTTCATATTCTGACATACAGCATCCAAACCATAAGACAGGACACAGCCAACCACCATACAAAAACTAACCATGCCATACATAAAAGGGTATCAGAAATGATAGCCAGAATTCTCCAACCACTAGGTATAGCAATAGCCCACAACCACACTCTGCCAGGAATTATCCAGAATCAAAGACAAGTAATAGAAGAATGAAAGAAACAGTGTCAACTACAAAATCAACTGTAACCATTGCAACCAATTCTATGTGAGACAAACATCACATTAATTAAAAGCCAGGATCCACAAACATCGACTAGCAGTCAAATGCCACACTCCTAAATCCTTAATCTCTACCCACACTGATACCAAACAGCACCAGTTTGATTGGAGCAACTCAAAAATCATCAGCCATGCTACCACCCACCACGCTTGTGAGTTTATCGAAGCCTGGCACTTCATGAGCAATTCCATCAACAGACACATTGACTACAACCAGCCTACGAACCCCTCAGACTCCAAATCAATCACACAGCTAACCAGAGACAGCACCAACCCTCAACAAATCCACACAAGACCCCCCTCCCACCAGCATTTCACCTCCCAATGACCCTGACCTGATGTAACCTTCCCATCACAGGACCCATCACAAGACTCACTGATGATTCACACCTGACCCATCACAAGATCCATTGTAGACCCTCACTTGACACACACATATCTGAAGCCCTTATAAATAGAAGAACACTGACATTGACATCCCCTAAACCAGTGGTGGCGAACCTATGGCACGCATGCTAGAGGCGGCACTCAGAGCCCTTTCTGTGGGCACGTGTGCCGTTGCACCAGCAGCCCCCCCGGAGGAGAGTCGCCCCCGAGCACAGCCCACGTGGAGCAGCGCAGCCAAGAACATGGCAGCCAGGCAGCGGGGACAAGACTCCACCCTTGTGCCTCATCGCACACAGTTGATTCTGTGGGGCGCAGGCAGAGGGCATGGCTGCCATGGCGCTGGGCCGCCTGGGCAATCTGGCAGGCTGTGGAGGCGGTGGGTGTCCTTGCGGGCAGGTGGAGCGAGATCTGGGTGAGGGGGGAGTGGCCAGGGTGGGGGTGGGACCTGTTTTGGGGCACTCAGTCTCTAAAGTGTTCGCCATCACTGCCCTAAACTCTGCTGAAGATGTTATCTAGCCTGGTAACAAAACATTCAGAAACCAACCCACAAACTCGGAGAATGAACCTTTACCCTCATATCAATTGCTGTTTACATTTTTGCAAGTGACAAAATATTTCCTCTTTTTCACAGTTGCAGCTCCGGGTGCAGCAGCCTCAGTCAACTGCCCCACCCACCAACCAACCTCCACAAGCACAAGGTCCCCCCCAGGCTGGGCCACAGGCCACCCAAGGAGGGACCATGCTTCGGCCTCAAAACCCAGGAGCCAACCCTCAGCTCCGAAGCCTTCTTCTGAGTCAACAACCGGTGCGTATTGTCAATTCCTCTCCACAAGGTCTTCCCAATGCTTTTCCATTTTTTAAAACTGAAGATGTTTGCTGAAATGTTAGAGCAGTTCAGTGCCGCAGCTCCTTTGCTTCTAAGAGCAAAGAGAAGTGGCTGCATTGCTTAGCTTAGCTTTGCCGCTTTCCTCTGCACTTGTAATAGCTAGAAAAGAATTATATGCTTCCTCCTCTCTTTCATATACAGCCCCAAGCCGGAGTTCCTCAATCCCAGCAGCCCCTTCACCATCTACAACAAGGGTCTTCAGGAATGTTACCACACCAGCCCATGGGACAGACTCTTGGGCATCAGCCTCCTGGACAGCAACAGCTCCAGCTTCCTGGACAGCCTCTCATGCACCAAGCTCCTGGGCAGCAATGGCCAGCCCAGATGGCACCACGGCCCCAATTGCAAGGTACGGTGTGCTTCTGCCACTCCAGAAACAGCTGCATCTGAGAGTTGGGGTAAGATTCTTGCTTTTGGAGAAAGGAGCTAATTCTTTCATCAAGGCACATTAATTTGCAGAGGTGGAAGAGATAGGTTTGAGAGGAACGTACTGTATGTCATTACCTAATTGAGCAGGTTATTATCTGTAGAACATGGGCAACAGATGTGAAATACAGTAATTATAGTGAGGTAAGAGCTCTGGTGATGCTGTTTTCCAATGTTCTCGCAATCTTAAATGGAAACAATATCTTAGCTATTCCTGGGGATGAAAGAGAAATGAAGGCACAAATCTTAGATTAGGTTTCCCTTCTGGGTTAAGCATTTGTTCAAAACGCCCCAGTGGATATAAAATTAAACAGAACACTACAGCTAATCCTGTAATCAGAGATTCTCCACCATTGTTCTAAAGCCTCTTGGTGTTGTCCCTTCTCTCCCAGGTCAAATGCTAATGAATGCTGGTCCCCGGGGGCCTGTTTCTCAACCAGGCCTGCAGCAGGTTCCTGCTCCCAGCATCATGGAGGATGACATCCTCAGGGACCTCATCTGAGGACAGAGGAGGATACTTCTTCGCTGTTACCCAGTGCTGAAATCATCTCTGTAAACTGGGAAGATGCTTCCTTTCCGGGGAATATTTTTTCTTTCTCATTTGTAATTTTTTTTTTGTTCCTCTCTGTTAAGAAATATTATACACTTTCATTCAAGTTGGTCTTTCCTTAAATTAATTCTGTTTCTCACTCCATCCACTGCAGTTTTAGGAATATCTCCCATTTCTACTGTGCTTTATTGCACACTAAAAGTTCAGTCCAGCCTTTCAAGTTCCCCAGTGGGTTTTCACTTTGGTATGAAGAGATAATTGAATGAAAGGAAAGGGAAAGTAAAAGCGATCCTATTGTGAGGTATGTTGTGAAGTTCTGGCCCAAGATCCCAGATATCTCAAAAGAGCGTATAATTTAATGATCTAAAATCTTTCCAAGGAGAAGGAGCTATTTTAATAGGTGGACAAAGGAAAAAAAAGTATGAGAGGGTTCTTTTCCTCAACCTCTCACATTTGAGATGTGTTGGCCTTCATCTCCCATTCTCCTCAACAATTGGGAGTTCAAAAGCTTGAACCCTAATTCAAATATCTCACTGCTTCCTTCCTTATATTTCCCAGAGCAACCCTTCTGGTTTACCGCTGTCTGAATTGTAGCAGCTGTATACATTGTAATCAAATTAGGTTTCCAAATGCATAACTGTTTGACTTTGCTTTCTAAAACACAGGCTTTTTTAGAGCAGAAATATAAATCTAAGACCAGGATGCTACAATTAATTTAGAGTTTACACTGTTCTCAGAAGCAAAGATGGGATAAGATTATAATCAGGGTGGGTTCCTGTAATATATGGTCTTGTTAGAAGACTGAAAAGGAAATAGAGTGAGCATGAACGGACTGGAATGCAGGATGTCAGAGTTCCATTCAATAAAACATCTCTACAAGTATATGCACTGTTGTTGACCTAGCATGGCATTTATTAGTCACCCTTTTTTTATTAGGCGTGACGATTTTGGTTGATACAGGAGTCAGGCCCAGTGCCCTGAACAGTACAGTCACTGGAATCCATGTTGCACAGGTTACAATGACAGCTGAGAGCTACAGGATAGGTGAAGGATGGATCAACATCTGGGGGACAGCCTTGCAGAAGTGCAGTCTCATATTGTACTTCTTTGTAAATGCAGACCTTTTGGTTGAAAGAGGAGAAGAGAGGCTTCCACAGCATTTCCTGTAAAAGAGAGAGTGGCTAGACATGACAGGCTTTCTTACTCTTTCATCGAGCTGCATCCAGAAAATGTCACAGGTACCATCCTTCTGTCTAGTGTTGACCTAATTTCTCTTACCTGCCCATTCTCTTACCTGCTCCAGACATGCTGCTACTAGCAACTTCCAGAGATCCCTTCTCAATGCTATCAAAGCTGAGGAATTGGTTGGGACATTAACTGCCTTTGTAGTGAGTAGTAGGAAGATAAAATGGCAAACTGGGCAGCAAAGTGGTCAGCTAAAGGCAAATAATGAAGAACTAATACTCTCCAAGTGGTATCTTCTATCTGGGAAACTAAGGATGCACAAAGCCTCTGATAGGAAGAGGTTGCCTGTTCTTCCAGGATGGAAAGCAAAGCCTGCTAGGCTGTAATATTTAACAGGAAATGCATAATTCAGGGGCCATGTGTAGCTTTTTCCCCAGTAGTACGGTAGCCAAGTAGAAGAGTAGTAACTCCTTGAGTCAAATAATTGGCCCTATTTTATGAAGGTTACAATACCCTTTCAGCCTTAATGTTAAGGCCCCAAATGGCTCCTCCCAATCGCCTTTCTGGGCTAATGCTTAGATAACACTTAATGCAGGATTCATCAGCCCATCAATTGCAGACAATTCTCAGAGCATCCCCAGCAAGACATTTTGTCAAATTAACCACAAACAGTTCCAATAAGCATAATCTACATCTACAAGATTTTAGAATTATCTTCAAAAGTCATCAAGGGGAAAAACTGTTGACTGGAAACCAAGGCCAAATTCCCTTTCCTGCAGCTTTACCTTATCTGTCCATTATGCCTCTGAGTGCAAGAAACAAACAGTAGCAGCCCCACTTAGGGAAACGTTTTATAGCTATGACTGAATGCAGGTTTCTTCAAGTCATTGCATTGTCTTGAATTTTAAAAGGGTGCTAGGATAGAGGCTAGCTTTCTCATCTAGGTGCCTTCCAGGTATATTAGCGCACACCAGGCATCATGGCCATCTCTGCTAGCTTGGGACAAGGAATGTTGTCCTAACACTCTTCCTTCGTATACCCACCTTGGTCTTACAGTAACCACTACAGATGGAAGTGGTGATGGCCATGCAGACAGGGCAGTCATCCTTCTCAGCTGCAATGGTAGCATTGACAAGGCGGCAACCTTGGTTACTGCTGGCCAAGCCATTTTCGTGAATGGCAGCCAGGAACAAGAATGTTGCTAGCAATGGATTCTTTGCCTGAATGTAAAAGAGGGAAGAAATGAGAAAGATTTCATAGCTTTGGCATCCGTTTCAGAACATAAACCTATAGCATAAGCTCTAAGGGATGTTGTGCAAATGGGACTGATGTTGTTGGGCAGCATGCACATTTAATAAACTATTATTATAGCTTCAGTAGGTAGTCTTCTGTCTGCTGGGTCTGCTTTATTATTGTTTAAAAGTCATGGTCATAAGAGACAAACATAAATAAAAGACAACACCTTTGAGCACATTCTAAAACCCAAAGCTTGTTGTTAGCACAAATATTGAACTGCACAGACTACAAGCTTTTCACACAAAAGTTCATTCATAGCGACTCCTAAATTAGGCATCTAATTTAGATATGCAAATAGTGTGACTATTCATACTAAATTTTTTCCAGATTCCAGATCACTGCCCATTGCCCAAACCTCTGCCTTTTTGACCACAAACTCACTGATATGCCTAAAAAACATTTGGACGTTAAGCTGATTTTTTAAAAAATACTACAAAAAATATTTAATAAATGAACAAAGGTGCCAGGATTGTATTTCTATACTTATACTAAGAGAAGAGGGGGGGGGGGAACAGAGTAGCTGCAGCCTACTATTTATGGAAGGATTTGGTGCCCTTCCTGAACTTGTCCATCTGTTATCTATTATTTGATTTTCAATATCACATAACTGAATTAATATACATGAATCTAAATAGTTAACATAAAATATAATTTTTTCTGGGTATATAAGATACTGAAATCTTTGAAAAAGATCTGTTTTGTCAATTGTCTCAAGCAGGTATTTCTTCAAAAGAATTCATATAACTGGTCCATGCTTGCTCAGTAGTGCCTAGTGAAGCAAAAGCACCACAGAATATTTCTTTTGACCAAAACATGTAGAGCAACCTTTCCCCACTGTTTTGTGTTCATCACAACTTCCAGAATTCCTAGCCTGTATGGCTACTTTAGATGCATCCAGCTCATCCAGAGGGCAAACAGTTGGAGAAAGCAAATATAGATTTGTTGGATGTGAGAGCTGGAAAGAATTGTTCAACTTCACTCTGTTAGTGAAAGCTTTTATATTTATAGTATCCTTAACAATGGGTTGCCTAGACTCTGTTCAAAGCGAGCCCACCAATTCTTCATGTAGGTAGTCTCTAACCACTGGGAAGCTTCTATTAGCGAACAGTTAAGCTTTTTGCAATTTCCTATTACGCTAAAGCAACATCTCTTGATCTGCAACCTCAGTAGATCATGTTAATGTGCAAGAAAGATCACTGACTCAACTATCTGCCTCCTCATTTGTACATACCTGCATCAGCTTCATAGCGTCTCCAGGGTTGTCCTCCAATTGTAGTGTACCTGCCTCTCCTTTGCTTTTTTATAGGGCTTCCCCCCTCCCATCATACAGCTGATAAAAAAGATTCAAGGGCAAAAATCTAATTAATAACCAAGATGCAACAACAAAGGATTTTAACAGCATAATCACAGTTCCCTCAATATTCATTAAATATTGGCTCCTAGATTAAGGAGCCAACACTTAACCAATTTCACTTCAATCAGTGTTTCAAGTCTATTTATTGATGTATCTTCATTTAATCTGAAAGTTGCACAGCCTGCTGCACTTTCCACCTCCATCCTAGTTACTTTTCCATCTTTGCAGCAACACTGTGAAGTGGGTATAGCTGAAAGAGACTGAGCCAAGCTCATTCATAAACATGAATGGAGAAAAAATTAAGCTTCCCAGTCTTCTGTGGGCAGTAAGCTGGGTACTATATTACAGTAGGGCTACCAGAACTGAGCTGCAAAAATCCTGATGATCACCAACTGGGGGGGGGGGGGGAGAGTTTTCTGTGTTTTTTTGCTGATAGCTAGTAATGATTTACAGTCAGATCACAATGGTCTTCTAGCCAGGATCTGTATCTGGCAAGTTCATTTGATGCTGTGAAGACTAGGACAGAACTCAAATTTTATGAGCAGGAATTGGGATCAAGATGGTTAGAATATGAGGATCAAAAAATATGTTGTAATAACAAGAATAAATGAGTTTCAAGCATGAGGTAGGTCTTAGAGTGAGGAATGCCCTGGGAAACCTGAATTCTTTGTTATGGAAAGATGAAATGTCCAAATAATAATAATATTTTGTTGGTGGAAATTTTGTATTCTGTTCTTTGAATGACCATGCTAGGTAAAGGAATAAGAATAAATTGCTCATGCTGGTGAGGGAAAGGTATTTCCACTAATGAAATATTATTATTATTTGGACATTTCATCATGACTCCATCTACTCATGATGTACTAAATGCTTAGATTGGTGAGTCCATGTTCTAGGGAAGAAATGAGGAAATTAGACACAGCAGGCCATTTTTACTGAGTTTGGTGAATTAAATCATCATGACTTTTAATTCCTTTTGCTTATAGACTGCACTTTGAGCCCTGGTTTGAGTCCATGATCAGTGATCAGACATCACTGAAAGGAACAAGGTAGTCTGTTTTTTTGAATTTGGTAATTAAAGCATCATTTTGCCCTTTAAATCCCTTCCCAATGTGAAGAAAAAGAAAATTCATATCTGCCTACAGTACACAGGAAAAAGGTTCTAAGAGCCACAAATTATTTTCTGAAGAACTTGGATGTGACCCAGAGTTTGCTGCTCCCCCTCCCATGGTGGGGTTGCCTTGTCCTAAACTCTTTCTGGCAATAGCATCAGATAGAGCCATGCAGTATTTTCCATTAACCATGGCTTTTTGCGTCTTCTCCAAGGCTGCCACTCTGGATTACATGAGATGTTGCTAGGTGAAAAATCTCTTTCTGCCTTGGTCGCTTTCCACCTGGATTGCTGAATATGGTGTCCTTGATGTCAAACTGAGCTTCAAGGACCCAGGGGGGACTAGAATCAAGGCTAGCTGAGAGCTGCAGAGGAACTGAGGAACACCAGATTGGGAAAAGCTGACTTAAAGCATTGTGGAAAATTCTGCGCCCTTTCCCCCAGTAGGAGATTCCAGATTCGCATACACACACCAGACTCAAATTTCACACAATATTTTTGGCATTACCTCCACATAAGTATATGAGGTAAAGGTAAAGGAGTCCCTGCAGATTTTATTCTGTTAGTCATTACTGACTATAGAGGGTAGTGCTCATCTCCATTTCAAGGCCATTGGACCAGCGCTGTCCAAAGACATTTCTTCAGTCATGTGGTCAGCATGACATCACAGAGCACTGTTACCTTCCCACTGAAGTGGTACCTATTTATCTACTTGTATTTGCATTCTTTCAAACTTCTAGGTTGGTAGGAACTAGGGTGAAGATGAGAGCTCATCCTGGCTTCTGGCTTTCCAGCCAATAAGCACAGCATCTTAAGCGCTGAGTCACCACACTATTCCTCAGTATATGAGGGTCACCTTAGATTCAAAGAGAAAAACAATAGTAACGGAAGAAGCTTTTTCTCTTTCTTTTTAACTATCAACCATTCTTCAGTGTG